TGCTAATGAATCTATTGGTTTGAAGAATGTATCATGGCACTGTTCTTGGATGGATCAGTTGTATGCATCTGAATTAACAAGTTGAAGGGAGATACAACAAATGTTTTACTGTTTGATTTATGAAGTAATGAATCTATTGGTTTGACCTAATTATGAAGTAAGTAGTTTTTTTTTGAAAGACCCGAAGTAAGCAGCTATCGATTGCAGCAGTACTACTGATGCTGCTGTATACTCATATCAGTCAATAAACCGTTTATAATAATAACCAAGCTCACTTCAAACATGACACAGAGTGCCTGGAAGCTGTCGATCAGGATAGAGAGCAACCAAATGGATCCTTCAGGAAGGAAGGATCCCATGGACATTGATCAACATGAACCAGGAGGTCGGGGCGGCCTGGACCTCCGCCTCAGCCGTTGAGGAGGAAGTAGTGGAGGAGGAGCCGGATCTACGTTCGGCGATGGGAACGGGGTCAGATCCATTGATGCCGAAGGCTCGTCATACAGGTTTGTGCTTATTCGCGTCATTTAGATCTCACCCCATGTATTGTCTTCTGGTTGGGTAGTATTGTACTATTGTTATATCATTATTAGGTATGCATAGGGAAACACCGTTCTTCTTATATCCATTTAAATTCTGTATTTTGACATGTCTTGTGACAAACAATAATAAGATGATGACAATGTATATTTCTGTGTTAAATAAATATATCTTGAGCACATCGATAGACTTGGAGACTAATAAATTAAATTGTCAAACAATTTTTTTTCTTTGCTTTGATGGATTGCAGATTTGAGGGGCAAGTGATATAGGTGCACAGGGCACTGGCTGACTGTCATGAAACCATTTGGCAAGCTCAGAAATTGATTCATGATTGATATTGTCGTGCTATACCAGATGTCACTCATTCTTTTATGTGTTATCATATTGTACGTCACGCCGGCTGGCACTCCTCGCCCTTGGACGGGACGGTTAATATTTTTCTCATTTCTCTGATCACGTTTGTCTCTGTTCCTTCTCTGCCAGGTGCTGCACTCGTTGAGCGTGGAGCTCTCACAGTACCTGCCGCTCCTGCTCAAGCTCGTCGTGGTGGTGTACGCCGTGTTGTGCCTGGGCGAGCTCCTGCATAGATGGTCATCAGGCGGCCGCTGCTCGCTCTCCCTGGTGCGCCTGAGCAGCCAACAGCAACGCTGCAGTGCAGTGCAGTGCTGGGTGCCAACAGGAGGCTGATGATGCAAACGCAGAGCTCTTCTGCTGCTTCTGCCGCACCAAGCAAAGCACTGCCATTTTCAGGCTCCACGAAACAGGTGCTAGGTTCCATTTGGTTTTTTGTTTGCTCAGTCTACGCTTGTTGATTTTTGAGCGCCTTTTTGCGTGAAAAATTGATTTTTTCACATGGTGGATTTAAGGACTGCACGGATGATGTTGCTGCTCAACCAGAAGGTGCTGGAGATGATTATTTGTAGCACATTTCCATGTATGATGATAACCTCAGTTGCCAGTTGGTGTTGCTCAATTGAATAAAAAACACATAATTGGAGAGAACTTCATATCATTATTAACACATTAGCCGTGCATAAAACGTACAAGTGTTACGCTTTTTTTTAGCTGAGTTATTATGTTTCTTAGTATGTGCTCATCTGAATTTCATCTCACTTTTAACAGAGTTATTATGCTTATTATTTTGTTGTCTGAGTTATTGTGCTCTTTGTTGGTTGATTTGTGTTTATAGATGGCACCGTAGCGTTAGCACGGGCAATATACTATATAAATAAATATACAATGTACTATAGGCTGGTCAAACCGATTACACATTGATTACAGGTTAATCTTAATTATTGATTGATCGTGCCATTCTCCTTGATGTGCATGTTCTATTTGTTTCTACTTTCCTAATAGTGCTCGATTACATCTCCCATTTGATTGAATATTGCCTGTCATATGATAGAGGAATCACGGCAAAATAGGAAGTAGAAAATTATTGTGCTATCCACACATTGCATGTTTGCATGCACCAGCATACATGGCAACGAGATCCCCTGCGTCTTGCTTCAAGGAAAAAGAATTAACACAGAAGGAAAGAGAATTAAGACAAAAGGAAAGAGAGAGACTGCTATCAATCCTCTGCTATAAATCCTGTGGCCTCGCCATAGCTCCCACCCTCGTAGCCAGGACACCACAGCTCCCTCCAGCCAATTGGTGAGGAGCTACTGCAGCCCTGCAGGAACCCAGCAAGGTCAGGCCATCGACCCAACTCGCCTTCTGTCGCCTCATCCCTGCCCTCACCAGGTCTTCTTTTTCCTTTTTTTTCCTGGTCAATGCATGATTCTCCCTGTGGTTGCAATGCCCCTGCTTGGCTTCTCTGGTTGGACAATAGATGATAGATGATGTCCAGTTAGAAGATAAGGTATGATGTTTATGCTTGCACGATCTGCTGGTAGCAGCTTCCAGCGAAGCGGGTGCCGCCAGACCAGAACAAAGGCCTCTAAAAGGGGTTTAATTTCGGAAGTCGATTGGTAGTGGATGCATTTGGTGAAATTACTCGAATAACTGATCAGTGTAGCTCATCATCAGTTAATAAACAAACATAAGCAAAATACTGAACTTATTATTACTTTAATTTATGATATATGATGATGAAAACACATGTCAAAGCAACCACATGTGAGCAGAGATAAGATTACGAACGGCTTACCAGCGTTCGTTCCAGGCGTCGATTATTGAGCTCCTCGAGGCCAAAATGTCACCGGCGATCTCCATAAAATAATAGTATATTATGTTCAGACTAACTAATGTCATCCTGTATATTTTTCATGATTTTGGTTTCTCAGTTGCCGATATAGGTTCTGGCTGTCGGTCGCTCAAAAGAAAGAGGGTGTACGCTGACATGCCGCCTGCAATCACCGATACACACATCTACAGGTAACTACGTTACATTTATCTTGTAATTGATCGAGGCAATCATTTTCTGTCGTTTACTCATGTGTTTTAACATTTTGATTGACACGGACCGGATTGTAGATAGGTTGAATTTCATGAAGTTGGAATAGAACACATATCTTCCATATGGGATGTGAGTGCCATGGTTTTTTGGAAAGGCAACGTACAACATCACCATGGTGATACATATTTGCGTGTAATTTTGAAAGATGAGCAGGTGCATTTTGAGCTCATCTTTTTGGATCATGTCTAATTTTTTTACTACAGACCATTGTTATCTATCTGTTGGATCTAATATTCTTACAGGGAACCAAAATGAAAGCGGTTGCGTACGGCGACCAAACCGTGAGGTTCGACCATTTGCTTCATATAGGAGAATGTTATGACTTCATGAGAGTTGGCTTCGTGCCTACTCATGTTGGTCCTTTGGGCTACATCTTCCGTTTATGTGTCGACTACTTTGTGGTTCTATCTCCACAAAGTATGGCTAATGCACCACCGAGAGAGCTATGGATTTGTCAGTGTCCTTGTACCTTTATGGAATTCAAGGATGTATACGCTCAAGCTGAGTACTTTTTTGCAGGTATACCTCATACGACTATATTTAAAAATATATAGTTAACTGTTCATGCTCCTATTCCATCAATAACTATCGTTTGTGTTTGTAGATGTCATTGGTATAGTTGTGCATGTGTCTAATATTCGAGGAAGGGATGACGTGCGGATGCGACCGTACAGATATGTGGTGCTGATGAATGAAAGATACTTAGAATGAAAATTTTATCATTGCGCCATGCTATCAATTTTTTATCGTTTGATGCTAATCAATTTTGTAACTCGTAGGTACCACTGCATCATAATAACCGTAAAGTATACACACATATGCCGTCAATTATCGGAATGGCGGCGAGCGGCAACAGAGTTGCGCATTTTAGCTGGTCTCCATGTACAAATGAATAGAAAGAGAGGTATTGTATGATTGATGTTCTCATATGTATTGACTAAATAAAGTATCAGTTATTACATTGTTTTGCTCGTGCATGATAGGCGGAGTGACCACTACTGACGATTTCAGCGAATTGGTATTCAGTCCTATTTGTAATCAGACGCATGATTTTCAAAGTGAGGTTCTTTTGGGGTAATTCATTGATTTAATTTATTGACTACAACAGTGCCCCAAAAGTTTTTTATTTGTTTATAGGCCTACGCAATCGTCTGCTTGTTGATAAAGCCAGACGTCGCTGAGTTCAAGAATTTCCTAAGGACACCGTGTCGCGTCTCATAGATTTAGAGAACTAAATAATATTAAAATTATTTACACGCTTATGACATGCACTTTGAATAGATGATGGACATAAATTTAGTTTAATATAATAGTCATTTTGTGCATTTTTATTGGTCAAATAGGTTCAAAATATGTGGATTGAGCAATGTTTGTCTGATATATTTGATTGCTTCATTTAGTTTGTAATATTGGAGACTTCTTGTCGATATAAAATATTATTTTAGCCGTATCATGGAAAGGTCTATATAGTAGAGTTTGTGAGCCTGCGGTGCCGTGCTATTAGTGACTGTTAATTTTACAAACTTTGCTTTTTTGATTAAATGTTAGTTTAATGTCTTACAGTATCGTTATCTTATCGTGCTATCCGTATGTTTTTAATACAAATGTTTAGTTGTTCCGTAGCCACGCACGAACGCGCTTCCTGGTAAAAAAAAAAAAGTTATAAAGACGTATGAGGTGACATGGCCCTGCCGCCTGCCGGGTGCCGGCCTCCGATCCCTTTGGCTCCGGGCCTGGGGTGCTGGTGCAGAGATACCTGATCCATCGATTCTGAATCCACCCTGCCTAGTGTTTGTGCTCATCTTCAGAAAACACCAGGTTCCAAGTGCCGTGTGGCGCTAACTGCGGAAGGACCCATACGACAACTGCAAGAGCAAGGCAGAGCAGACAGGCGGAACTGTACATTGATGTGCGTCCATTTGGTCTCCCTAGTCTCCCTCCCTATAAAGCTGATGAAATATGTCGCTCGCCGTCCGGCCTTGAAGAGCAAGCAGCAATGGCGCAGGAAATCGAGCACACCCACCTCCCCATCCGCGGGCTCAACCTCCACGTCGCGCAAGTAGGCAACGGTGAGTGTCTGCCATCAACCATCATCGTTGCTTCACTTGATGGATCCCATTCCCAGCGGAGAAAGCAGAGTATCGATGATGGGCCACGGGCTGTGGGCTGTGGCTGTGCTGTTGATTTGTGTGTTGCATTGCAGGCGATCTGGGCACGGTGGTGTTCCTGCACGGCTTCCCGGAGATATGGTACACCTGGCGCCACCAGATGCTGGCCGTGGCCGCGGCGGGGTACCACGCCATCGCGCCGGACTGCCGTGGGTACGGGCTGTCCGACCTGCCGCCGGAGCACGAGGAGGTCTCCTTTGACCACTTCGTCGCTGCCGTGCTCGGCATCCTCGACGCCCTCAACGTCCCAAAGGTAAAGCAACAGCTCACCAAACGGAAATATTTGCCGTGTCCCACTGCCACTGATCAGCCTTGCCACACGTGCAGGCGTTCCTGGTGGGCAAAGATTGGGGCGCCTTTCCGGCGTACGAGTTCGCGCTGCAGCACCCGGCCCGCACCCGCGGCGTGGTGTGCCTGGGCACCCTGCCCGAAGGCTTCTACGTCCTGCGCTGGCGCGTGCGTAGCACTCCACTGACTGCATGCATCACCTCTGAAAAACTCTTCTTCTTATCGAAACTGACAGTCTGCAGCTGGTGTTCCTTCTGCTTCTCTTCTGCAGGAGCCGGGCAGGGCGGAGGTCGACTTCGGCCGGTTCGACGTGAGGCGAGTGGTGCGCACGGTCTACGTGCTCTTCTCCCGCGCCGACATCCCGATTGCCAAGGAAGGGCAGGAGATCATGGACCTGGCCGACCTGTCCACGCCGGACGACCTGGACGCCTATGCCAAGCTCTACGAGAAGTCCGGCTTCCGCTACCCACTCCAGATGTACAGGTAGCCACCGCGCGCACCCCTCTCGGCTCTCACAAGCCAAACGGCAGAGACTCAACACTAAGACTCTGATGTTCGTTGCTTTTGCTTCCATGGAAAATCGATTGGGCATGCAGAGCTATACACAAGACCCCGAAGCGGCCGGACGCCAAGTTCCAGGTGCCGGTGTTCATGGTGACGGGGGAGAAGGACTACTGCTTCAAGTTCCCGGGGTTCGAGACCGCCATGCGCGGCGGCATCATGGACAGCTTCGTGCCGGACCTGAAGATCACCTAAATTCCGGAGGGGAGCCACTTCGTGCACGAGCAGTTCCCAGAGCAGGTCAACGACCTGCTCCTCGGCTTCCTCAAGGACCGTCCGTCCACTGCATAAGGATTTAAGAAGAGCGTGAGACCATGAGAATAACATGTCGTCCGGGACCGACAGTAAAGGGGTTAATGGTCATCAATTTATCCGAGCAGTCAAAAGCATGACTATAACTTCAACCGATCCTCAGGTGCGCGGGCTCCGCCTCGCCCGACCTCCGGATCGGGGGCTCCGCCTCACCCGCCCCTCAGACGCGGCTCCTGACGAAAGCCTGTACCACCGCCAACCACTACGGGCCAGAAAATACAACCCAAGGTTAAACTTCTGTCATCGTGCAGGGAGCGGACACATCTCAACATGATCCATGCCCGCGACATGTCACTCCAGGGAACTCACATCACCAATAGTGATGGACGCGTGGTCACTATGCTGCCTACTCCCTGTACGGCCGCTGACCAGCACGCTGGTTCGCCGCGTCGCCCTGTACGGCCTCACTCGGAAACAAACGTCGGTACGCGTTACTGTTCCCTGTACGGCCTCACTCGGAAACAAACGTTGAGTAAAACTGGTCGGACTATAAGAAACCTACGCCCCAGCGGCTACGGTGTTTTTGCTCACCAGCGTGATCAGAGTTTTTTCCGCACCACGAGCTTTTTAGCCTTAACTACGGAAAGAGTCGGTACGCGTTTAAGAGTATATCCATCTAGCAAACATTCTATGTGCCCGACCCTCTCTCACATTGAGACCTAGAAGCAAGGGTTGCGGAAACAAACGCTGAGTAAAACTGGTCGTACTGCAAGAATCCTACGCCCCAACGGCTATGGCGTTTTTGCTCATCAGCATGATCAGAGTTTGTTCACCCACACCCCGAGCTTTCAGGCCTTAATGACTGAAAGGGTCGGAACGCATTAACCTTTTTATACAAAAAGAGGAGAAGGGCTAAAAATCTATTTGGCCATAACAAAATTTAAGAGCTTATCCATTTATAACAAGTTCGTCGTCTGACTTATCTGTCTAACTAATTTTTTGGGCGAGTTGATCTCATCCTCTATCTCCGCAGGTAAGTCCTGTGCCAGCGGGTCACCCAAGTCGATCGGATGGCTAGGCCCGCTGCCGAGAGATGGGTAAGGAGCAGTAGGAATGCCCCATGCGGGTTATGCCGACTCTGTCATGAACGACGGACCCGGATTCCACTCGGACATACCATCGAGGTAAGTCCTATGCCAGCGGGTCACCCAAGTCGATCGGACGGCTTGGGCCATTGCCGAGAGACAGGTAAGGAGCAGCAGGATGCCCCATGCGGGTTACGCCGATTCCATCATGAACGACAGATCTAGATTCCACTCGGACATATCTGATAAGAGCTTCCCGAACCGTCACTCGAGCCATCGAGGTAACTTTACCAACCCTCACTTTACTTTTCCAGTGCATGATCATTCATTCATCCATTCTCATACATCCACAGATGACATATGCAATTATTACATCACAACGCTTTGCTTTGCGTCATGAAGTGGTAGTCATCTCATTCGATATGAGCGGCGACCGACCGAGGTTCGAAGGCTGGCCTGCGAAGGGCTCGAGGCCGCCTCGCGTCGAATAGAGCTAGGGGAGAAAATGCAGATGAGCCCCAGCGGCCCTTGCTCGACCCGCTCAGAAGTGGACAGGGTCATCTCAACCTTCTCGTTCGATCCTAACCTCAAGCCATACCCACAGAATCTCCATCGAGGGGAGGACAACGGAACACCTGAGTCGGTCTCCGGAATGACTCGGGCATGTGCTGGGAGGCGGGTTAAGGAGCAATGGAATGCCACATGAGGGCTATGTCGACCCCATTATAAACGATGGACTTAGATGCCACTCGGACATGTCCGTTAGCGAGCTCACCGAGCGCGACACTCGAGCCATCGAGGCAAGTGACGTTAGCTCAACCCCTCCGATTGCGAAAACCGTGGACAGGGTGACGATCACAAAGACAAACCGACCCTCGACTGGACCCCCGCTATGCGCGGGGGCTCAAGGAAAGTTAGACTCGCAAGGAGACCGAATGCGCGGTTGTAGAACGATGGCTCGGATCCTAGGGAGGGTGTACGAACGAAAACTAAGAATAACGTTTCTAAAACAAAAAAATGCTTTCTCCTACCAGTTTTGCTATCGTCTTCTCGATCTTTAGTGAAATCTGATCCTGGCAATGGCAAAGGGCCGGGTCTCACTCGGGGGCTGATAAGGGTATATATACCCTTTCCGAAACAGTCGCCGTGCCCGACCTCTTTCTCACGTTAAAAACCTAGAGGCAAGGTTTACGGAAACGAATGACTGAGTATGGCTGGTCAGACTGCAAGAAACCTACGCCCCAACGGCTACAACACTCTTGCTTACTAGCGTGATCAGAGTTTCTCGCCCGCACCTCGAGCTCTACAATCTTAACAACAGGAAGGGTCAGAGCGCTTTACCCCTTTTTACACATAAAGGGGAGAAAGAACAAATTTGTTCAAACCGAAACGGAAGAACAAACTTGTTCAAACGAAACAAAAGGGATGGAACTTCTCCGCTTATTACAAAAATGACCGCCTGACCTATTTAACTAACTAGACCCTCCGGGGGAGAACTATGCCTTCTATCCTGTCCGCCAGGCCCTACGAAAGGGAGCCATCGCTGTTTCTATCTCCTCTAGCTCGTGGACTTTATAATTGGGCGCGTAGCCGTGGCTCATCGCCTCCAGATCGATGTTGTCCCCATAATGAGAACGAGCAATCGCGAAGGACTGATTGACCCCGGTGCGAAGGGCATTCCTCTCAAGCTGGCGCATCCGAGCCGTGATCTCGATGGCATGACCCGCGAACAAGCTGGTCCCCTCTGACCGCACCACCTCAAGGTCATCGTAGACCACTCCGAGGGTGGCGCTCAGGATACTAAGCTCGTCGCTCTTCGCCTGAAGATTTCTCCTCACCTCGGCAAGATCCACAGCCAGCCCGGTAGAAACGCTCTCAGCCTCTAGCTTCCGGGTCATCTCCCTTTCGAGCTCGGCTTGGAGGGAGCTGACCTTCTACTGCACGTCATCGCGCTCTTGGCAAGCCTGGTCAAGCTCTCAGAAAGCCTGGTCACGCTCCTCGCAAGCCGCACCACGTTCTGAGCAGAGCCTCTCCACGGTTTGGATCTACTCATCTCGCTCCTTGCGCAGTCGAGCGACCGCCGCGGCATCCAAGCTCACCCTTTTCTCTAGGGCCATGAGCTTCTCCTCGACCCCTAGCTTTAGATCCCTTTCTTTCTCAACCTCGCTCAGAAGGTCAAGGATCCACTAGCGGGTTTCGGCGTCCTTCTGGAGCAATTCATCCCGCTCCTTCCTGACCCTGGCGGCTTCTTCGTCATCCTTCCATGACCTCGCCAATAGGGCCTCGAACGCCTTCTTAGCCTCGTCAGCATCCCGATGGCCCTCGGCCACCCACGACCAAAGATTGGCCGCCTTCTCAGTGAGGGGAGTCAGCTCGACCACCCTCTGCTATGCGGCAATGAGCTGAGCTGTCACCTCCCAGCGTAGCCGTGCCTCCTCGATGAGGCGGTCCTAGCCTTCCTTTTGTTGACGAAAGAACTGAGATTTCCCCCGGCTACGAGCTATAAGGGACTGCAAGGAGACGATGGTCAGGATACAAAAAGTATATAGAGAAAGAAAAGGGCAAGAAGCAGGACCAAGCAATACCCGGCCGGACGGAACAACAATGTCGCAAACTGCGCCCGTGGCGTGGTCTAGGGCCTCGAGCACGGACGCGATCCCTACGTCGAGGCTCTCCCGCTCCATGCTCTCTGCGCGTCATCAAGGGTAAAAAGCATCGACACTAGATCCTGCGGATCCGTCCACTGGAGCAGGGGCTCGCCCCGCGAGACCAAGCCATTGCCCACCGACGTTAGGGTCAGGGACGACTCCTCGCTGACCCCTCTCGCCGCGACGTCCCCGCCGGGACGCCCCCTCCAGCGATGAAAGGGGTCAGCGGTGCGGACGCGAACCTCTCTCCCAACACCACGACTCCTGGGGACCCCTCGGCCACGTCCCTCTCCATCCGGCCCACGCCAAGCACCGTCGCTTGGGCCGCCGATGGCACGGGTCGCACCGATGCCTCAGGCAATGCTGTGGTTGCGCCCGGCTATGACCCATCTGTCACGACCGCCGCCACCTCCACCTGCATCGGCGGGGTCATGACCGGCTACGTCGCGCCCGCCACGGTCGGTAGCCCCGTCCGCCCCGCCGTTGGCAGCGGTATCGTGACCGTCACCGGCTGCTCCGCGACCTCTAAAGGCGCCCCTTGAACGCCCGTGTCCGCCTGTCCCATCGAGGGCACAGGCGCCACCGTGGGCGGCGCCTGGCCGGCCGGCGACGCGGTCACACTAGCGCCGCTCCCACCCAAAATGGGCGCGACACCAGCGACGCCCGCCGCCCCAATTGGAGGGCGATGCTTTTATTCGGCACCAGCACCAAAGGATTTCACTGCCTGCCGACACTGCAAGGGATGAAAAACATAAGTCACGATGAAATCAGACTAAAATAGGAAAAAACAGAGGAATTGATAACTCACCACAGCGCTGTTGGACAGCAAATGCGTTTGGGGGATGAACCCCCCAACCCTTGCTCCACCACATCGGAACGAGGCCGTTTCGAGCCCGCCCCTGCTCCTGGGGCACATTGGCGGAATGCCCCGCTCCCCTTGGCTCTTGGGGCGCGACGGCGGAGCCGCCCACCTCTGCTGGCACCTCAGGCGCGATGGTAGAGACGCCCATCTCTGTTGGCTCCTGAGGTAGGCCAACGGTATGTCCCGCCTTCATCGATTCCTAGGGGCGTCATCGGAACGGCCCGCCTCCACCGGCTCCCCAGATGTACCCTCCCCTCCATGGAACGGGAAGGGTCCTGATGCCTGCAAGGACGAACTGATTCCTGTCAGCGCATCCTCGTTCTCTAGGTTGTCCCACTCAATATCGTT